TAATACCTTGAGACCAGATTAATTAATAATCGTATCTCTATCCTTTCAGGTTTTTCAGAACCGGAAGATAATTGTGACCATTCCAAACTCAGAACGTGTTCCAATAAGATAGACGTAGAACACAGGGAACCGCCGTTCACTAATTCTACAACACGAAGTTTGAAGTTTGAAACGACCATTCGAACCATTCGACTGTTTTAGAACACTCAATAAGTACGTGGATACATGTGGTTTACCACTAATATATTCTGATAGAAACTGAACACATGAACATGAACACAATTGTTTTGCTTTTTCAAGGCGCGCTCCTTGAGTTGTGACGTGTTTCGCTCGTCTCTCAGCTTTTGGATTTTTCCACAATGAAAAACTCCCCATTTCAATACTCAATCTAAAAACATAGAACGTTTGCAGCACTTCTGTCCGTCCACGCACCTCACCCCTGCGCATTCGTCAGCTCACTCCTCAACAGTTGAAAATTGGCATTATTATTCCTTTGAACCAACCGGTCTACCTCCTGTCAGTGGTTCTTGGGCGTTTCAGCTGCCAAACTGCCTTAGCTCTCGGTTCTCCTCGGAGGTCATTCCCCAGGAAATATCTTCCCTGGTTATACATACGCATCTGGAGCTTACGGTTAAACTCGTTGGTCAAGAGCAGAGGATCAAGTGACAAGTGTCTGAAGGTGAGCCAACATAAATTATCTTCCCTTTTCTATTCTGTCCTTTTCCTGCATTCAGTCTTCAACCCTCTTATTGTTGTTAACTACTTGTTTTCCCAAGAAGTTTATATCATAGCGACATGTCTGCCCAAAACGCTAGGTCTGAAGCTTTGACACGGATAACGCGGTCGTGCACAACAACGGCCAGTAACACCCTAAACAACACACTAGTCTGTACTAGAAGACAAACAGAGGTAGGGCAGAACATCGAACTTCTGAAGAAGTGGCCAACCCATGTTTCTAGAATTCCAGTAGCCATCAGACAGGTGACACAGAGTAGCACTCACCCGTCACAAACTAGTCCTATCTTGAGCAAGGATCATACCATGCCTGAACATAGAAGACGACGTAAAAGGCTTCAGAACAAGGCAGCCACAAGCAGTTCGCCACAATCCGTAGCACCTTATTCATGGAAGGAAGGCTGTATTACGACACCCGATGGCTGCAGTGTTTGCACCAAAGTTGTTTCGGTAGTCGATGAGGCATTTGCATGCAACCTGTGTCAACGATGGGTGCATTGCCACTGCGATACCAAAGTCCCCCGACAATACTATAAGCTGATGAAGAGACAACCATGCAAGTGGTTCTGGTACATCTGTCCAGAGTGCAGGAAAATGCCCGCACTCCGCACAGAAAGCCTGAAGGAGATGCTCTCCGCCACGCAAAAGCTACCAGCATCCCCGAATAAGGTAGGGTTAACACCAAAGGATAACACAGAGAGACCTGGAAACAGACCTAGAGCTCCAGCTGTGGGCACGCCATCTCGCGTGGGGACCATATTAGGTCAAGTCTCCATACCCCCACCCGGCCCCAGGGGACGTCAAGCGCATGGCCAAAGACATCGACCGCCGAAGCCTCTACGAAACCCATTCCGAACACCCCACACACCGTGACTGAGAAACAACCAGTGGAATTACTCAAACCCATTGGTAAGTCGGGCGTGCCACCCACAACGAACCCAGGTCACAGGAGGACCAACTCGATCATTTTGTTCAACGTCGATGTATCGACAGACTCATTGTTGGTCGAGAGGGAACAATTTGACAGCCGAATGTGGACCGACTACTGTCAGATGCTGGGACTCCCTCCCCTCCCTGCAACTTTGTGTCGCCTTTCTCGAGGAAGCCATGCACCCCGAGATAAGCCCCCCCTTTACGTGTGTCCCTAAATACCGCCAAAGAGGCTGAAGACACACTCCTCCTCTCACGACAACCGGACGTTGTTAATGCCTGTAAAATTCGGGCCAGGCCTGACAAGCCATGGTCAGTAAGAGAGGAGGAGAGAAAGTCAGCGGTTGGAAATCCCAACAGAAACAACACTATAGTTGTACATGGGATTCCAGAATTGCCAAGTGACAGCTCGGTCAAAGATCGGTACTTTCACGACGTCCAACAATGGCAATGGCTCTCAACCAAAGTTGGTCTCAACAGTATACCGGCCAACAGCGTCAGTAGACTGCCAAGGCCAGCGCACCTGAAGACCATACCCAATCCCAGACTACTTGCCGTCCAGTTCGACTCATATGCCTCCCTCACAGACGTTCTGCACGCATGGTATAATGCGAAAGATCGCATGGGTGGCTCAATACGTATATGTGAAAGTAAGCCTAGACCCACAAGGCAAGAGGAGAGACGGCAACCACCAAGACCTCTGGAGTCAGTGGTCGTCACACAGGCGCTGACCAGTGAGTTAGATACATCAAGTAAAGAAGCCACCACTGCTACAGCCCCCACCCAAGTTAAGAACAAAACACAAAAAAACGGAACAATGCCAGTCCTATGAGGACTGGCGAGGCTAAATTCAACCACGTAAGCGCTCATCCCGCGAAAATACACATCCAGACCTCCCCCCTCATCAGGTACACTCTAATATGTATGTACAGCAACGTTAGGGGGCTAATAGGGAAGGTAGCAAAAATGAGGACGCTGCGTGAACATCAGCACTCCGACATCATATTCATCACCGAATCCTGGCTCTCATCGGACATCTCCGACGAAGAGATGCGTGTTGCTGGCATGGAACTCTTCCGCAGGGACAGGGAACATAGAGCAGGAGGGGGAGTGGCTATCTACGCAAACTCCTGTTTAAAGGCAAGGATGGTTAGCGATACGGCCTTAACCCAGCTCCCAGAGTCTCTATGGTGCTACTTCACTCTCTTCTTTATTCTCTCTTCATTCCTTTACCACTACCTTACTATTCTCTTTCAGGTACCTACACAGACAGGAGTCATGGCAGTTCTCTAAACTTCCCAGCAACCCGTAGCTCCCTAATCACTCTACAAATTACAACCTACTAACCCACAAAACATCCACCTCACCGAAGCTAAAAGCAAGAAAGCAGAGGGGATTTCCTCGTCCACTGCAGGAGTAAACCGAACAACTGGAACCAAGCCCTAAGAACTAGACGCGAGAGATCAAAAACTACTAGTTTTCTACGCTCGCACTATCAATATTGGATATTGGATGCTCACTCATCCCTGCATTACTCATTTTTTGGATCTGCGGTACCGAAAACACCCTTATCATATTGCTACTAGCAAAATTTACTCCCCACAGATACTTTTCAATCTTTTCTTCTCATTGTTTACTCTTTCTATTGCCCGCACAACTCTCCGAATAAGGCTCACAAATGCCCCCAGAAACGGAAATTGCAAAAAGATCAACTGATGTCACCAGCAGTTCTATTTCTTTCCTAAACAATATGCTTCAGGTTGCAAAAGAAAAAGTATAGACAGACAGTCACTACCTCCAAAGCTGTAAGCAGGTAGACGGAAAAGATTTCTGAGACATTTTAAAGAAGTACATTCGAACAAAAAGAGTCGATTTCGAAGATCTTGAAGCGAAAGTTAAAAAACTGCAAGTTTCCCCTACTCACACTATTGATTTTGAATATTGGAGACTGAAACCTCACTCATCCTCCTCTTCTCTGACAACATAAAAATTTGGAGGGTGGTAAACGAAGCAGCTGGTTGTACAGCACTACAAAAGGGCTTGCAGCAACCCGGGCTCTGGTCGTCGGAAAATGGCCTGAGCTTCAACCTGGAAAAGTGCAAAGTAATGCACATCAGTAAAAATGAAGCGAGTACGACCGACTTCCAGTACATTTTGAGCAACCGTGCTATCACCAGAGTGTCCATGGAGAAAGATTTGGGGCTCAACTTCTCCGACACCTTGGACACCAGCTCCAACTACAAAGGTATGACAACCAGAGCGAACGCCATTCCACACTTTCTGCGTAGACAGCTTGGCGCCCTCACTGCCGAACTCTTCCTCACCATTTTCAAATCCTACGTGCGGCCGCACCTAGAGGTCTTCAACACGGTGGCTCCTTCAACACTCAAGAGAGACTCTAATCTCCTTGAAAGAATACAAAGAACTGCAACAAAATCAGTTGTGGGGCTAAGGGGCAAGACGTATCCTGAAAGACTTAAACACCTAAACCTATTTACCTTGGGTTATCGCAGGAAAAGGGGTGACCTCATTATGGCATACAAGATCGCCCGTCAGGCAGACCATGCAAACAAATCAATTTTGTCTGCAACCCAACGATCTTCACGAGGAAACCCCATTAAGATAGCACATCAGAGAGCCAACACCATACTCAGGTCCAAATTTTTCTCCCTGAGAGTATGTGCTTTATGGAATGCCTTACCGCGACACATCGTTAAAGCTGCTTCAGTCGACTCTTTCAAGAGGCGATTAGACAGTTATGTCACCTCGCATGGACTACCACGGACGTACTCAGGTAGTCACCAACCTCAGTACCCCCAACTCCCTCCTAACTACCACTCACTATCTCTCTCCTTAATACACCCACATTACCTACTAATTCTTCTGTAGGAACCAAACCCATGCGACAATCCGGGAAATTCCCAAATACTTTCCTTTCGTTCGCTTTTCACCCCTCCTTTTCTTCTCCTTCCCTTTTCTCTTCCCTATACTATTATTTTTTTCCGCTCTTTCTTTCTATTTTTCTTATTCTCTCTTCATTCCTTTACCGCTACCTTACTATTCTGTTTCAGGTACCTACACGAACAGGAGTCACGGCAGTTCTCCAAACTTCCCAGCAACCCGTAGCTCCCTAATCACTCTACAAATTACAACCTACTAACCCACAAAACATCCACCTCACCGAAGCTAAAAGCAAGAAAGCAGATGGGATTTCCTCGTCCACTGCAGGACTGAACCGAACAACTGGAACCAAGCCCTAAGAACTAGACGCGAGAGATCAAAAACTACCAGTTTTCTACGCCCGCACTATCAATATTGGAATATTGGATATTGGAGCGCAGATATCTATTTTGGCGATACAGGTTATGTTGGATGTTGAGGTTGTCCCAGAGTTAGGCATACGCCATAAGCTATGGGAGTTTGTACTTGGAATGCCTATTCAACAGATGATTGACATTCTAAGGAAACAAGATCATACCATTAAAAATGTTGACTTTTGGTACAATGACAAGGATCCTTTTAGTCTGAATTTGGTCTTGGTATTGCCGGGTGACGGTATGAAGTTCCACTTCGACCCATTTCTTCAAAGATTGAGGGTAAACATCCTTGTTTTCTAACTGAGTATAGATCATTGAAGTTTTTGACTTATCTTCGATCACTTTACGGTATTGGTATGTGTAATGTTATTTTCCTGAATTCACTTTTCAGGTCGCAGTATTTTAACAGTTCATCTGTCCTTCCAACTATGCAGGAAGTGTTGAGGATATTTGGTTCTACCAAACCCCTAGGTATATCGTTTGGCTTTTTGCAGTGTATTCTTCATGTAATTAAATTCAGGAAACGTGAGATCTTGTTTTAGCTAACATTCATTTGGGGCTGAACTAGGAAACCTTAAGTGTGATTCTAGGAATAAGCTCCGGGCTCACTTGTCACCCCTACAGTGGTGCCCAAAACTGCTATTTGGTTCCCGCAATATACCCTCGAAATAGGCCTTTTGACATTCAAACAACTAGCTGTGGAAAAATAAGTTGGTAACAATAACATTCAAAGCTACCACAGTATTAGAAGGGACAATCTTTTCTCCATAAGTAATTTATGACTAAATCTCTAGGTATTTGAAAGGGAAATTGCGCATTCTTAAGTCCACTCGGAATTTTAGCACCCATTTTTACGTAAGAATTTAAAAGTGCACCTCACTGTAATGCTTTCTGAGTTTGTGGGCATTATGTACCTCTCATACATTCACCTCTGTGATCAATACAGGATTGATTTCATGCTCTTATAATATATCCTGTATTTTTTCGATGGGTAATTCAATCACGCATTCACTTATGAGTGTCACTATGCAAGGTTTCGCAAAGCAGAAATACACTTATGTTTCTATCACTAGGATTTTGAAAAGTAAGCAATAAGCATGTAGCTTTTCGAAAATGTCTACCATTCTCATACAAATACTTTTTAACTAAGGGAAAGAAGAGATAGTTCAGCGAAGAAAATTTTTCTCCCGATGATATTTTCTAAAGCTGTTGGATCATATATATATATATATATAGTTATTTTATTATTAGTCCCCTGGGTTCCTAATGGAACATAGGGCTTCAGTAGCACGTCTCAGTGAACTCTGTTTTCTGAAATCTTTTGAACCTGGCTCCACGACAGCCCACAAGCTCTCATTTCCTCCTCGCACGATCTCCTCCATGTCACCCTCGGACCTCCAACTCGTCGCTTCCCATCGGGGTTCCACTCGACGGCCTGGCCTGATGCGTGATGTCCCCAATCGGACTTCTCAGTGTTTGCCCAAACCATCTCCACTTCCTTCTGCATATTTGTTGAGCGACAGCTTCTTGCTTCGTTGGTTCGTTGCTAGCCAGAGTTCCCTGTTGCTTATTCTTTCTGACCATCCATCTGATCTTCAGTAGCGAGCGTAAGCAGTTGTTGATGACTGTCTGTAGTTTATTGGAAATCCCTTTCGTAACGCGCCAAGTCTCTGAACCATACAGGAGCAGTGACTTAACGTTGGTGTTAAAAATCTGGATCTTGTTCCACATGCTGAGTGCAAAAGATCTCCACACTGGTCTCAGGCTAATGAAGGCCTATCTTGCTTTTCCGATCCTGGCTGGCCTTGACGTCCTCGTCTGTGTCGCCTGTAGTTGAAACAGTGCTTCCTAGATAGGTGAAGGAGACTACTTCCTTCAAGTTTCTCCCATTGATGGTGATTGGAGATGGTTGTTGTTGTTGGTTGGGTATTTTCATCACCTCTGTCTTCTATATATATATCATAAAAGCATAACAGTCTATTACCAAACAATAGTGTATAATTGCATCATCAAGCAAAATACGCATAGCTTATTAGATTCCTTCGACTTTGTCTACTGTAAATGCCAATATGTACGGTAAGCGAATGATTTCTCTCGATGTGGTTTCTCTCTTCCCCGATGTCCCTCTCACAGAAACTATGTTTTCTATATGATCTCGTCGAAAGTAGTAGTTTTTACGCGAGTATCCCAAAGCACTGTTTAAAGGAATTGCTTCTAAGATGTACTTTCAACGTGCAGTTTAAATTCAACAATAAGCTATATAGACAAAAAGATGGGGTCGCTATGGGGTCACCACTTGGACCATTGCTGCCTGATTGCTTTATGGCAGACCCAGAGAATAGTGTGCTCCATTCAACAGTTGACAGTTTTCACTTATGTAAAAGACAAATGGATGATACATTCATCATATGTGATCAAAATACAGATATTAGGACTGTAGTCAAAAGGTTCAGTGGTTGTCACCCATCGATCAACTTCACGTCAGAGTTTGAACAGAACTCAGAATTCCATTTTCTTGATGTCTTATTGAAACGAAGACCAGATGGCGGTCTTCAGAGATTGATTTATAGGAAGCCTACATGGAATAGACAATGCTTGAATTTCCATAGCTGGGTGCTTCTTGGCAGAACAAGGAAACTGATCCATTCTTCATCTTCAAGAATCAGAATAACTTGCACGAATGATACTATTAACAATGGATTAGACAAACTACGGAAGATTCTTATGTAAAGTGGATGCCCATCCAGATTTATTGAGAACTTGAAGTCAAAATAGAATACGGAGCAAGTGCTCACAGTTCCGAAGAACTTGTTTATGAATGTTAGTTTCAAAGGCAATACGGCAGCAGAGATCCCGAAGAATCGACTGTCTAGATCTCTGAAGAAGACATTCTTTGTGAAGCTGCAGATCAGCTTCTCTAGTCATCGATTGGTTCCGGAGTGCGTTAAGGACAAGTCGCCGCTTTAGGCCACCTCAATTTGTGTCTACAAACTTACTTCTTCCTGTAGAGCTAGTTATATAGGCCGCATAAAGTGCACACTTTCCAAGGGTATCTCAGAGCACTGTCCTGCGTGCTTGTCGAGGGGAGAATGTAAATCAATCAGCACTTCAATTCTTGAACATTTGGTCAACTCTGGACATACAGCTCGACCAGGATTCTCCTTCGGTGTCACTTATCAAGATGGAATGGTTCGAAAGGAGTACGCCTTCGACAGTTATGCACAGAAGAAGCACTAGCAATTCATCAACTCAAACCTAATCTCTTCGTGCAAAAGAAGTATGTCCAGTCTCTTATCTTACCGTGGTCTTAACATTCACAATTTTTCGATTTAATCATAATGAGTTACTTTCTTTTCTTTTCCCATGATATCGCCGAAAAAAGAAAAATTTCTTCGCTGAGTTGCCTCTTTTCTCTGTGACTCAATGGGCATGTTTCATCGTCTAAAGTTACTTTTTTATTGTCACATTCATTATGACCCTTGTCTCATTCTTCACCTTTTTATCTGTCTATCAAGTGGATACTCAATATTCGCATTTCTCATCTGCCAACAATTTTCATCTTGTTAAACTCTTTGCCTTCGTTATTTCTACTGTCTAGAAGATTATTACGCAAATACTCTCCATTCTTGATTTCGGTTTGTTAGCGCCGGCTTAATGATACAATTATACACCGTTGTTTAGTCACATACTTTTATATGTTTGTGGTATATATAAATACGATTGCACAGCTTCAGAAAACGATATCTTCGAGAAAGAAAATTTTTTTTCGCTGAATTAGCACTTTTTAACTAATAAAGTATTTTGGATGAGAATCACTTGCTAGCAGTAAGAAATGTCTTTGCAACAGTCTATCGTAATAACTTTGCAAAGGTTACCATGCAGAAACTTAATTTTGTAGTTAACTTTGTTATACTCATGTTTCTAAACTAATTGTTCAGGTATATTCTAGGATCTCACTGAATTTCGCTCGTGATTTAGGTAGGCGCGATGATAATGTTAGGAATTAGTATATTATCGGAATGTTTTTGCCCACCTTTGGGCAAATTTCACCTGCAGATTATTCAAAAGATCTTTTATCTATACTCCCTATGCCTGGTCCTGTGACTGAGATTATAGGGATATAAAAACTAATAATCCCCCAACTAAAACATATTTTCCTCAAGCATACATTTAATACCTCTGATATACTTAAAACCCATTAAATAGTACTTCATGGTTTCTGTTTTCATTCGACGACTTTGAACAGCGACAGAATTTCATGAAAATGTGCTCAGAAAACCAGCGGGGTGAATGTGTGGGTTTGCAACCTGAAAACTTCCAACCACTAACACAACTCCCTTTACCTTCCTTTACTCGAACGATACCTGTTACCTCTACATAGTAATTGTTCTTGTGTATCACAATAACCCAACAAACCACATTGGCTGTAACTCTGGTTCCACCAAGCTCCTATCGTAACGGAAAATCTGTTGAATAGTAGTAAGACAAAAAGCGGTAGCCGTTAAAGTGCAAATTACTACGACATGACATAGGTGCCGAGAGCGGAGGGTGATAGCAGTAAGGTGTTTCCTGTAGATGACCAGCAGTGCCAGGCTGGTGTTGCCTTCTCTATGAAAAGGGAGGCGAGTTAACAAGGCCGGTCCCAAACACCAAGCTTCTTCCTGTCCTGCAGTTTTCCGGTGCCAGTGCTATGGCTTTTTCCCATCGTGTTAAAACCTATATTTGGCATAGGGCCTAAACATTGAAAGCTACAATGTAAAACCGGCAGCGGGATTTTATAAGACTAGGAATAGTTTTCAACTGCCTTGAGTCGTTGGAAGGGGTTGCAGAGAGAGGTAGAGGTGTAATATAGACTTAATATAGGTATCAGGAAGTGAAGGCAAAGGAAGGGACAGAGGTAACGTAGGTAAATTGTTTTTTATTTGGTTTTGTATACTACCGATACTTCCCAGCTTCCCAAGCCGTGGAAATTGTTTCTACAGGGTACCTGAAAGGGGGGAAGAAAAATATTTGCGTAACGACAGAGCCAGTAGGACGCCTGCTTGAGGCCTGTCACACTACCTTCAGAAGATTGTTAGTTTGAGATTTTGTTGTTCTAACACCAGATAGGAAAAGGCCATACCGCTGGTACTGGGAGAACGCACGGCAGAGGGAAGTGTTCTGTGTTTGAAGTCGATCCCTTCCTATAAAGGTGCGAAGCTGTGGCTGATTGGTTTAGGGAGGTGACTTTCAGACGGTGGGTTGCTGGTTCGAACCCCGCTTCACCCACTGGGGTTTTCCCAGTCAGGCAGTATCATTAACCTTCACACAATAGATTTGGCTCATTGCCTAATGCACGAACGTCCACAAAGTTAATGAGAAGGCAGCACCAGCCTGGCACTGCTGGTCATTTGCGGGAAATACCTTACTGCTGTCACGGATCTTTCTGTCATTATACGACCTTGATGGGACAAGCGTTACAGCCAATATATCTGGTTGGGTCATTATGATACACAAACGTGACCACCATATCAAGGTAGTGACTGTTGGTTGGGTTTATTGACCAGAGACTCCTGATAATTGATTTCTAATATTACAAATAAAATATCACGTTTGTAAACATCTGACTAAGCTTCAGTTTTAATTTCACTATCATTTTGTCTCGCATACCTTCATTAACTTTTCTTAGGTTTCCCACTTAGATACATTAATAAATCCTCTGTTAATTAGACTAGGTCAGTGTCGCTAAGCAGTTGCAAGGAAGTGACAACTCACCGTATTTAATCGGGATGGTTTTGGGAGATGTTAGGGAATTCACTTGCTATTTTCATAGCAAATTGAAAATACTGTCAGTATCCATCTAGAGTTTTCTTTGTTTTGACTGCCAACTTTGGAGTGATCTGGTGTTCATACTCGCAACGGTTAATTTACGTGTTCATTATTTAAACACGATTTCTATGGTAAATTCTAGACAAGTGGGAGTCTTGTTTATTCACGTGATTACTTACTGCCCATGATATATCTGGTCCAGATTGATTAAAGGAGGAAAACAGGCAGTACTTCGGCAACTATGATGCTGGAAGTTATTGCTGACTGAAAACATGTGATCATCGTGCTATTGTTAAGCATGATTTAACTTGAGTTGCTGGTAAAGTCTTGTTAACTTTTATTTTTCTCACTCACTTTTGGCAACCTCATTAATTGTGGTAGAATCGCCTTTTGAAAGTAATCTTATTTGTAATAAAAGCAGAGGAAAAAGAAACTTTTCTGGCTCAAGCAGTTAAACCTGAATATTGGACATAAGCTTAAAACCCTTATGGGAACCTTCTTTTAGAAAGGTTCACATGCATTAATCATTTAACTGTAGGAAATGAAAGGGTCAAGCTCAATACCCATTTCCTCCATTTAGATGGTCGCTGCATTTCATATGGGTAATTGTCAGTAGAATTTATTCATAGGTCAAAGAATTCTGAATGATACCGGTAAACTGACATCATTTGTGGCACCACCAGCCTTCCAGGTGGTACGGTTGGCCCTAGTCTTTAGTTATGCGATGATTTAAGATAGACGATACAAAAAGAATCTAGGTATTTGACCACAAGTATTTTCGAAATATTTCTTCAGTTTTTGTAGTGAGCCATTTAAATGCTACTTTAGACTTCTTAGCAAAAAATGGCTAAGATTGCAGACATGCTTCTACTGAAGTGACCAAGAATTCTTGTTTGTTCCCCGCGTCTACTTGTAGTTGTAAATGCAGTGTGGATTAAAATTGAAAGAAGGTCCAGTAACTCACGTAGTGATCAATTGCTGTTGCGCGCCATGTGTGTGAACACAAGTTGCTTAGAGGTTGAAGACCAGTGACTGCAGTTCTCAGATGGCAACTAAAAATCTATCAAAGTAATCGACATGTATTTATCTCGTCTTTTTTTATTCTTCGACGCACTAAAACAGTATTTTACAGATATTTGTTCTGAGTGCTGTCACAAAATGGTAAGCTGAACTGTTGCACAATCACAAAAACTTTCAAGTTACTAAATTCTTTCTCACTAACGTCTTATTTTCTCATCACCTGTTTGCAAATTTCTTTCTCCGTGTGGAAAACAGCTCCGGCAGAATCAGATGGGGATTATCAACTAACCTATCGGGGTATTACTTTTATTCTAAGAAAGTTTGCCACTGGGATAACAGGAGGAAGTCGGGAACCGGTTGAACCTAAGTCGGACCTACTTGTTACACGTCTGTTTATCTACCTTGGCAGTAACTTAACAGAGGCTAAGTAAGTTTTTATCATTCATAAAATGTCTATTCTCTTTGTGTGATAATCATTCGCACTCGGACATCAGACTAAATAGTTATAACGCAGGGAAGGATAAAAGAACCTTACATCTGAGTAGTTAATAAGGATTTCGAGCCGTAGCAACCGAGATTTCTGACCATCGGTTTTTATTATGCGTTGAACTCCGAGCAAAAAGCCCATAGTTGTCTCGAAACAGTAACCCGGAACTTCATAATTTTCCTGAATATTCAGATTATTCCATTATTCACCACTTACTTTTAAGGATATACAATTACTGATTAGGGTAACTGAAGTATTAACTTATGCGCGGAAATCAGAGATAGTATCGTTATACTAGACTAGATCACTGATCACACAAGTAAAAATACATCCTATACAATGAGATCACTGATCGTTAATTGGAAAGGAGAGAGGTCTTATGAAAATCACAGAGTAATGAGTTTAACTAACTTCTTGTTTAAGATCCTAGGATGCATAGTCCTCCGACATCTAGTCGCAGTTTGAGAGCGATAAAATAGGAAAAACCAATTAGATTTGAAACTTTGAGGATGGGTGAGGATGGTAACAAAATGCATAGTCTTATATTGATCTTGGTGACTAGCAAAGGAATCCAGGACACGCGTTTCGACCTATTTGGAACTCGTCAGCGGGATGTACCTACACCCAGTGAGTGATGTTGTTCTCACTGAGGATCGAACCCAGTACTTATCGCTTCAAACGCCAAATCGTTAACTACTAACCCACTGAGGCAGGATGGCCATTTATTGTGCACTGGGTATCAATTGTAGTTGGTACTTGTAATTTTCCGTTGCTATACAGGATCGAATTGCTCGACCTCTGTTGGCTCTGCATAGCAGCGGAAAATTACAAGTACCAACTACAACTGATACCATTGCACAAGAGGTGGCCATCCTGCCTCAGTGGGTTAGTAGTTAACGATTTGGCGTTTGAAGCGATAGGTACTGGGTTCGATCCTCAGTGAGAACAACATCACTCACTGGGTGTAGGTGCATCCAGCTGAGTCCCAAATAGGTCGGAACTCGTGTCCTGGATTCCTTTGCTGGTCACCAAGATCAATGTAACATCCTAGATATTAAGCAGTATTGATGTATCCGCATAGGAGCGCATCTGCCAACGGAGGTCGAGCAGTTTGCTCCTGTATAGCAACAGGAAATTATAATTATCATAATAAAATATTATAGTCTTCTGAATGCTTTGGGGTGACAATCTAAGTACGCTTGGTACGTGTTTCATGCCTATCAGATGTAAGATGATGATGCAAAGTGATGCTTCAGGGTTGTTCTGCACTACTGGTATAAAGATGAGTGGAGTGGTTGAATGTGTTGACCATTTCACTTACTTTGGGAGTCACATCAACTCGAGTAGATTACTTGCTGACAAAATTTCAGCTCGGATTCAAAAGGTCCTGTTAGTCATTTGCCAACTTATGACACTTCTGATATCAACAAGGTATTCAACCAGACAGACGGACATAGAATCAACAGATATCCAACCATATATCAAAGAATGGGTACACTGCATAACAGTCCGCTCCATCCTCTTGTATAGTTGTCACATGTGACCATTGAAAGCCGGAAATGTTAAACAGCTAAGTGTTTTTGATCATGGGTGCATTCGTAGCATCACTCCCTTATGGTGACATCATCGTATGAGCAGTGTGGAAGTTAGGTGCAGTGTACTAGGCAAGTTGGTCAGTGAGACTGTGAACCACCGCTTGATTAATGTAAGAGAAAAACCTGAGCACTGTGCTAAGGTATAATTCCATATTAGATTGTTTATTTGATATAGCATACAGTGACAGTATAATTTACTGGATGACGTTTTGAGCAGAATTTATTGCTCATATTCATGTCAAAGGAATCATATGACCTTCGAACTTCACCGTTTGAGCTTGAACATTTATTGCGCATGCCGAGCCACTGCCTACCTTGACGTGCAGTGTCAGTCTAAGTGGGACTGGGTTTGAAGGCGGGATAAGGATCTGCCTGTAGTCCGTGAAGCCTCCGATGGTTTAAACTGTGTAGAGAGGTGTAGACTTCGTGCGTAGCGTCCCCATACTGATAGAACTCAGTGGTTAGAGACTATCTGTGTTAGGATTAAAAATCAGCCACATTAACTCATTCTTTACCATCGAACCTTTGAACGTCTTTTCAAACCTGCATTTATGTACTCTCTGCTTTCATACACTTTTGTCAACATTCACCTCATTCGTATTTTGTTCATTTTGCTGCTGCTACGAACTTTGGTAACTTGAACTCATGCACTGTGTGCCATCGTCTAAATTGATCTGTTTATCTGCCTATCCACTATTCCTTTTCCTGATTCAGTGTTAAATGTCTAGCGAGGCAGTGGAAGTTCATAAGTGATGAATGTCCCAGTCACGTAGAATGATAAAGATTTAAAACTTTAGCAGTGATTACCAAGCTACACAATACCACTTTGGGGTTTTTCGCATCGACATATGTGTACTGGAGCTTTAGTTCTATGATACTGCCTTAATTTTAGTGGTGGAAAATTTGCAATCGAAGTGTCCATTGTGATTAACTGTTTAACGGTGTATGCAGTGTTTTTAACTACTAACTCATCTGCAAATCGCAACCGAAGAAAAAAGATGAGACTCACTAGTGTGTAGTAATATTGAACATAAAGATGAGAGAAAAACAGGGTGCAATCTCAATAGAGCTATTCATTTGTGTCATTAGTATACATGTCACTGTTTAGAATAAAAAATCACGTAATTCGGAGCTTAATATAAAGTTGTGGGTTGTTGCAGAAACTGACAATGAATTGATATTTAAATCTAGGATTTTGATTTATTTATTGTACAAATCAAAATTTCCCATTGGTAGTAGATTAACATTATTGTATATTTAGCAATGAAGTCGGTGTGAATTACTTGGGAATATTTTTTAAAAGTTTTTCGTCATGCTCAAAGAGAACTTCCAAACTTTGTATTATTTTCAGATAGCATTAAGGTTCAGTAAAGCGTTTTTGTTCCTGTTTCCAGACATTTAACCATTTATAACGTTTAAAAGGAATAAATGATAATGTTGCTTATTCACTCATATGTGGGTTATATGCAGAAGGATTCATACTTTAATATTACATCTCATTTGAGCTTCAAAATTAGTTTTGCGCAATGCTTAGTGCTCCATTTTTTGTTATAAACAAAAGATGTGATAAATGTATGCAATTTATCAATCGATAATGAAACTCAGTAACTACTATTACGTTGTCGTATACGCTACCTTTTTCATACTGTAGGAGGAGTTTTATTTCTTAGCTGCCTCGATATAACTGAAACTGGATTTAAAACTGTAAGCCAGTGGTCGATAATCAATAGCCAGAGCTATTAACTTGACTAGTATCTATACGCTTCTGTTAATACTACTGCAATCTTTTTGTTTGAATTTGGTCGCTACAATTTTCATAATGGAACGCCTAGAAAATGAAATACAACTTGTGTGAACTTGCATGAAAGTAACATTAAAAAAACAAGATTTCGTAACAATATTTGTAATGTAGTTAAACAGTTGAAGCAAGAACATAGCAAACCTGGAATTGGTTCATCTTTGTTCTGCATCTTAAACTTTATGTTACTGCTTACTCAACAGACAAAAGTTTACTAGGCTAGAACCACCTTTGATTTGATTTGTAGCTTTTATTTGGTAAAATCATAAACCACTGGTGCTTAAGACCGCATCCATATAGTTTTGATGCTCTTTAAGATGCTAATGTATCACATCTGTCGTTCATTCCATGCCTTGACTGATTGCGGATGTACATCTTCTGGTCAGTCTTTTCACTGACAAATATTGTTTAGTGTGGAAACCTTCAGAAAGACATGTGTAAAAGCTGGTATTTTGAGATAGCCATATCTGGTTGGTATTCATCATGGACTGACATCAGCTTCGAAACACCGAAGACCTGAGAGCGCTGGACAGCTGTTCCGTTCTGGTATGGCATTTCTTGGCAGTCGTCATCCACAGCCTCATCAGGAATCGAACCCAAGTGGTACGGGGATAGAGAGAAAAGATTAGTCCGGAAATAGACCAATCAAAATGTATTTTATGTTATCACACCTACAGTTAGACAGATAGGCAGTGGATGAGCCAATCAGTGGTATTATTTCAAACGGCGAACTATCTATGTATTAGATATATTTTCCGTTGTTCTTGTCTTCGGTCTTTCGACCCCTCCATTGATTAGTCAAGTCGGGAATCAAATAGGAATTTTTTGAATGTTGGTGACTGACAGTCCGTGCATCGTTAGCTACCATAACAGTTTGTGAATCATAACACCAGGGCTATCAGGTTCCATGGCCAGCATGTTATCATTAAGCCACTGAGTCGGTATCCAGTGGTCCATATTTCCTACTTCTGTGAGTTCACGATATAGCTCAACATCCATCCAATGCTGTCGTTGAGTAACTGTCCTCATGTTCGACTTAGTTGACTCCACCGGTCACTACTTCTCATTGGAACTTTCTCAAAGCTAGTCACTAGTGAGCACTAAATTAATTCATTCTTGAGGTTTATGGTGATTTACCTATTGATTTCAGGTTGGTATTCTCCAACTGATGTCAGTTTATGATGAATACCAACCCGAAATCATTAAATACAATTCCCACAAACCTCCAAATTGAAATAATCTTATCACTTGAATAAAAATTATTATCACCACACAAAAGCGTAAGCTGATGGACACTACATTTACTACCGTACTGCTAATATTCAATGCATGCAGTGGTTTAGAAACAGCGGTGGTAAAACATAGGTAGCTGTTAAAAAAAAGCAAAAAACAAACAAAACAGAAGCGGCCATATTTTACAACCTTGGAGCAGAACCTCTGATACTAAAGAATTTCTGGTTTGACCTTTGACAACTTGACGAAAGTCATTACTGTATCAAAACTGTTTTGGCTCCACACATATTGTTCTAACATTTGCTGCATGAAAATTGACCTTGTCTGTTACACCATCGTTACTATTCATATAGATACTCAAACAAACTTTTGGACTGTTTTCTTCCATTCATCATCGAGGATAAGTTCGGACGAAAACTCTTTTCAAGTTTCTAGAAGTACTTTACATTTAGGTGGAGCAAATTATGTCATATTTATCAGATCAGCGTTCCCTTAGAACAAAAACGAAACAATATACGTGATGTTCCTTTATTGTTCGTCAGAATTGTCTTAGCCATTGTTATTTCCTATTTCATCAACTTTATTGAAATCGATATGTTTTTCTAACGTTTATTCCTGATTAGGGTTCCAGTTGAATTACCTAGCGCATGTTATTTACAGAATGTTTTTTTGGAAAGACTTGAAGTAAACCGATCGACTAGTGCTACAACAGATTTGACGTTACATCTTGTTGCCCAAGGTACGTTGTATGTTCAGTCATATTTATTTTTCAATTCGCTCCGCTTCTTTTCAGCTCAAAGAGTCTAACTACGCTTATATCATCGAAAAATTCCTACTAGTAGATATTTTTGGTCTTTTGTATAAAAGATCATCGTGATATTGTTCTAGGATTTTCGTTCTGAGTTACTGATCTTGTAAATCTTTGTTAAATTCATGGACGTTTGCACCCACAAAACTACTCACAGTGTGTGAAAGGGAAGGCAAATCCACTATCATCATGTTTTCTAATATCTTTAGTCAGGTGATACAAAATTTATGTAGAATTGTTCATTCATCCAAACTCCACATTAGTAAATAATATTTTATTCTATTTGGAGGTTTGTGAAGATTTATTAATTTATTTTAGGTTGGAATTAATCATGAACTAATATCAGGTCACTCTATGTCGCAAAGCGACAGAAGTAAGAAATATGAACCTTTGGATTCCGACCCAGTGGCTCAATGGTAACTTGCTGGTCATGGAACCTGAGAGTGTTGGGTTCGACCCCTGCCGGGGTCATAGGCGCACACTGCTGAGGAGTCCCACGCTACGACGAAACAGCTGTCCAGTGCTCCCAGGTTTCCAATGTTCCTTCAACTAATGTGAATTCATGTTGGATTCCAAACTAAAAATAATATTTGTTATTGATTTGTTTTCCACCATTAGTTCATCGACAGCTTGTTCTAAATTCACTGATCAGTGCCATCACAGTAATTAAATTACTACATCGAATTGACCATTTCGTTAAAATTTATTTTAATCAACAGCTACTTTTAAGTCAACTCGAATATAAGTAACCGATTAGCCTTCGTTGTTACTAAGTATTAAAGTGTATGAAATATCAGGCAAGTTTTCTAACCTTGAGTGATGTTAAGTTGGTGTACTCAGGTTCTAACACCGCTCCTCCTCTTACCAAGGTTTAGGCAGGCAGGTAGTATCATTAGTCCTCATACAATAGGTTTGCATGAATGTCCACAAGGATGCCGAGTGGATTTCGATTTCCGATTCGAGTGTACTGGTGGGAAACTGAAGAAAGGTATTTCATTGCAACAGAGGAAAAGTATTGTATCTTAACAAAAATCCTTGTACATAATAAGATTCCAACCACTAGTCTGCTGACTAATCTGATATCGTAACGGCTATGTATCATTCATGTTGTCGCCAGTGTCTCTGCTTTCTTGAAACGTTTCGGTGAATTTGCTCATAGAAGTATCTATCTCTTCGACTAACTTCACAAGAGTTATCATAGACCATCTCATAGTCAACCTAAAGTACACAGATGTTATATTCCTTTCAGGTGAATGTGTTGACAAGATGCGAAGTCTTTCACACACTTTTTCGAAAATGTTTGAAATGCAATCCATATGTGGACTGTTGCTCCAGGACTGGTTAGTATTTCCTTGTCTGATAATGAGTTCATTGGTTGAACGCCTTGCCCACTTCATTTAATTGGGAAATCAAATCCAAGCATTATGTACCAGTGAGAAAATAAATCTTGTCATGGATAAAAAGACTCGACTGGCTTTTGCCAGAATACGTCGTCTGTTGCACGGGTGAGATATTCGACTGCATCTAAGGACTGTATATACTGCATAGCAGTTCGCTCCGTCCCACTCCATAACCACGATACATGGCTATTAGTAGTGGACGACATGAGAAGGCTTCAGGTGTTCAGCCATTGTTGCCTTCGTAGCATTGACCATGTCGTGCAAAGAACCTGTCAGTAACATCGATATCAAGCGATAAGTTTCAAGTAAAAGAGGATTGTCGCTTGGTGGGGTTATAAACTATCGACTCATATGGGTGGGTCATGTATTACGACGCATAACCTAGTCACCGTTTGCCTCATTGTGCAATGATAGTTGATGTGGGTTTAAGTCGGAACGAGGTCATAGTGGGACCAGACTAAAACGTGACACCAGACCATGAAGTCTCCGACTGTTGGTCTGAGCGGTGTAGGGAAATGTTCACTTCATGGTTGAGGTTTGAGTGACAACCGAAATCGTTGGTTAGAGACCCTAGGTTATCACAATAAATCGGAATCGATCTCAGTGACAAGATCCACTCGCATACCTTCCTTATTTTATTCTTCATGGGATTTTGTTATTGTATTACCCCTTTTCTTCCCTTATTACAACTTTCTACTCACTTTTGATTTCTGACTCCACTATTTTTCTACCTTTCATCTTGCTGTCTTACATCTCATATGGTAGGTGGAAGCGTGGCTGTTTATGCAGTAATGCCAGGTCCTATGCTGGTATCATCTGGCTGTCATTGTCTCAAATCTGCAACTGTTCTGATTTTATTGCGCTGTTGTCTTTTCATTTTGGACAAAGTGATGCAAATCTTTGATTTCACCTTTTTCCAACCCATGTGTAAACTGAATAATTTGCTAAATTTGAGCCGAGTAAAAATAACACCCATTATTTTGAAGTTTCTATTTTTAAATGAATGAAAATTAACATACTAATCAAAGACTGGCATAAAAGTGAAGTAGAAAAATGTTCACTGATTACCAGTGACAACAGTAAAGCCTTAAAATTGTTGTCAGAATTTAGATACTACACATTGGATGAGGATTTTATCAATCTATCAAAGCATACTATCGGAGCTTTTAAGAAACTACTTTATCAATAGTTATTTGTCTTAGAGGATACGCTGGACCGCGGAGAAGAACGTAGAAGATTTGGATTTCGCCGATGACTTATGACTAGTGTCACACAAGCTTGAAGATCTACAGGCGAAAACTAACAAGATGACAGAACAGGCAGCGAAGACGCGACTTCAAGTGAATATAGAGAAGACAGAGGTGATGAAGATACCACACCAACAACAACAACCATCTCCAATCACCATCAACGGGAGAAACTTGAAGGAAGTAGTTCCTTCACCTATCTAGGAAGCACTGTTTCAACTACAGGCGACATAGACGAGGACGTCAAGGCCAGCCAGGATCGGAAAAGTAAGACAGGCTTTCATTAGCCTGAAACCAGTGTGGAGATCTTCTGCACTCAGCATATGGAACAAGATCTAGATTTTCAACATCAACGTCAAGTCAGTGCTTCAGAGACTTGGCGCGTTACGAAAGGGATTTCCAATAAACTACAGACATTCATCAACAACTGCCACCTACGCTCAATCTACACTGAAGATCAGATGGATGGTCAGAAAAAATAAGCAACAGGGAACTCTGGCTGGCAACGAACCAACCAAGAACCTATCGCTCAACCAATATGCAGAAGGAAGTGGAGATGGTTTGGGCATGCGCTGAGAAGACCATTCGGGGACATCGCGCGCCAGGCCAGGCCGTCGAGTGAAACCCAGATAGGAAGCGATGAGTTGGGCGTCTGAGTCGAGGGTGACATGGAGCAGATCCTGTGAGGAAGAAATGAGAGGTTGTGGGCTGTCGTGGAGCCAGGTTCAAAAGATTTCAGAGAACCGGGTTCACTGAGACGTGCTACTGAAGCCCTATGTTCCATTAGGAACCCAAGGGACAAATAATAATAATATTTGTCTTAGAATTTTGTATATAGATATTTTCATTTCACTTCTCTCTGATGCTAGTCTTCAATTTCATTTCTTTTATCCACTGATAGTTTAAATAAAACGCAAGATTTACGTGATATATTAGTTTCGAGTTCTGATACCGAAGATTAAATGGTATCTATATTGTTTTGACCGTGCTAATTTAAAGTACTTGAATGCTAAGTGACTTGATTCCATGAGAGATTATCTCAAAACATTTTACGGCACTCAGCATATTTCCTTTGAAAAAGGCATTTATACATTCACCTCCGATTTCTTTATATTACAGAGTACAACTCATGACATCAGATTCATTCTCCTGTAATTTTTCTCCTCATTTTGCAGATTTAAATGTGAATCCAATACGTGAACCTCAAATTCATCGATTTACTCGTTGCTTAACTTTTGGCGATTCTGTTCAGGTTGGTAACTAAATTATATAATCTGTCTTGTATAACGTTTTGATAAGATTTTATGGATTTTAGTTTCCCTAATATGTCTGGATAGCTCCGAAATCGATAGCTCAGTGGGAGCTCGCACCAAAATGTAAATCCAAATAACGACTGTGTTAGACAATTTTAAATTTAAAGAATGGAACAGATAAAACAACATAGAACATCGCATAAAAACACTTCGGTTTAACTTGTCATAGTTCATAGCAGTACAGAAGTGTAAACTTTACATGATAAAATGTAAAGTCACAAGACGAAAGAGACTAAAATGTATGGACCCGAACCATATAATGTCGACTCACATAAATCATTGTTGACTCCAACCAAAGCCAGTTTTTGCAAACTGTTTGATCTTAGGTGAGAATGATACAACTAGATGAGATTCATGTTCATCTTAGTGACAAGCAGTGGGATCCAGGACGCGCATTTCATCTTGTTCAGGACTCGTCAGCTAGATATACCTACACCCCAGTAAGTGTTGTTCTCACTGAGACTCATGGGTTATCTTAATCTAATTAATTGGTAATCTAATGTTTATTTTTGTCTAGAGTTTCCTTACATTTGGTCGGCTAACTCTTCTAATTGATGATTGATTTAGAATAGGTTTATATATTGCATCTAGGTCAGTGTGCTGACATTGCTAATTTGCCAGTGTCAGACCTCCAAAAATTTTCAGACCACCTTTTAGTTTGCACCTTCAAGTTATTTTAAAGTTGTCCTATTCGAACGTATGGTTGTGGTTGTCACAGTGTATTGAAATGAGAAGCTTCTTATCATGACGTTTGACAACCAGCTTTTTTTCATGCAGACGTAATATTAGTCTGCCTGACTCCCACGTAGTGGTGTTGACAAATATTGCAGATGACTTTGTAGATAACATTGGTGATTTCTTCTTTGTGTCGTTTAGGTCTTTTGGTATACATTGGATGGGTTGTAGCAAATCTTTGGTTTATTTGACACTGTAATCTCCAGAGGATACAGCAATCTGGCTGTCCTTCCTAAGATTTTCTTCATGTACTGGAGGAAGATTTTTTTAATAATTTTCGTATTAGATTTTGATTATGTTCTTTTGGGAAGAAATCTCTTGGAAAAAGTTCTTAGGATTGACAATGAATTCGAAGATTTCGAACAAACCTTTCTCAGCTCTCTTTTTGACTCTATTGTACTACAGTGTGTGTTTGCTCTTCTAAATAGCTTATGGGATACTGGATTGTTATTGTCGTAATTAAGGATCTGATTTCTGTGAATCGTGTTTCTGTGCATTTGAGCTTCAAGGTGTCCACCATTACATTCTGTAAACAGGATATCTAAGAATACTAATTGTTCATTAGTTTCTTTTTTTAATTATGAATTTGCTTCCTTTGTAAACATTACTGATTAGTTTTTGGGTAGATTCAATGTCATTTTTATTAAGGATGACAAATGTGTCGTACAGGTATTATCGAGGCTATACTTTTGACTTGATGATTGATAGGATTAACTCCAGTCAGTACATTACTGCTTCTGAAATTATTCTTATCATTTGTTCATTTCTCTCTCTGTTGAATCGAAAATATACGGTAAGGCAAAAATCTATTAGCTCTTTTATTTCTCGCACTTCGATACTGGCGTGAGCTTGTGGGTCGTCGTCATTTTGAAGCATACTTAAAATAATTTCTCTTGGAAGCTTGCTATCTTTCAATGTAAATAGGACTTTGATATTGAAAGAGATCATTGTTCCCTCTTCAAATATATACCGATCTCCTTAATGGGAGTAATGTACAACTATCACTTGTGTTGAACTACGCCGTTAGCTGCCATTTTGATATGTAGTCGAATTTTCTTGTCATAATAATCTACCCAGGTTATACGTGCTAGAGTGCGTGTTCCTTGGGGGAAGATGATCTTAGGAACATTATTTGACTATCGGTAAGACTAAAAGCGTAAAGTGTAAATAATTCACATTATGATTTGGTGGGTCTTAAATGTAAATTTGTATCAGCGTTTGGACAAGGATATGACTGCTATAAAGTATCTTCCTTCGGTGACTAGGGTTTTGAGATATCCTGCCTACTCACTGGAGTGTTTCCCAAAACATCATTCACTTTAGGGCTTCGTATTACTGGCAGTTAGTTTCCCTAAGGAATCAATACAACTGCATAAGAACTTGCATGCCTTAAAAGACAGTCCGTAATCGGGTTCAAGCAGATGTCGTTTGATCTCCCACAGAGCGAATATTTATTTTCTTCGGGATATTTCACGGAAATACGACTTTCGTGATAAAGGTTATTGAAAAGTACCAATCGCCAAAATACTTTCACCATCATACACATTGAAGGAATCTATCTTTATCGTATTACCGTTTCCTTTCTGTTTTTTCGTTCTTTTCTCAACACAAAAATGGGGAAAGTTTATGTTTCATGACTGTGTTACAGTCATTCAGTCCATGTCAGCATGGATCTTAATCCTCAACCCCAGTTGGGGCAGTAGGTGGAGCAGTGCTTTGAACTTATAGCCTAATATTTGGTAGTCAATTTACGATTGGATCTGTATTAAAATTAATGACTCCGTGTATCTCTTCTTAATTACTCTGTTTGTTCATGTAATCATGTTACAGTTCAAGCCGTCTGCTGTCTCCTATACTCTGTCATCCTATGCATTATATGAGACGTGATATTTGAAGGTAGAAAGTATAAGAGTGCTACAGTTATCGTAGGCGTATTGTAAGCATTGCATAGCATTTAGGTAGTAATCAACTTGTACACAAACTAAAACTTCAGTCTACTATTTGGTGCTTGTGCAGTATACACTACAGTTGCAAGCTTCATGAAAGAAGCTATCTCTCATTGGGATGCAGGTGGATCCTTCTGATAAGTCTTAATGGAAAGTAACACGTCCTAGATTTCACTGCTAGTTACCGATGGGCATCCCAAGCTGGTTTAATGAGTTAACAGAAGTATGGATGCGTAAGAGTAACTTAAAGAAGATAGTGAGTTGTTCAGTAAAATTTGGAGCTGTTACTCATTGGCTTAAGTGGTTGACTTTCAATCTTCTAATCATCACTTTAAAATCTCTGCCTACCATTAAGTTAGCATCATGAGCTCTTATAAAATAAGTGTATTTCGTACTATTACTCACAAATATACCTCGTTGTTAAAGGATGTTAGTTATTATCACAGGATTAAGAAATGGTGCCGAACAGTTCAGAGAGCTGATTCTTATGACAGCTTGGTTTGCGAAGCTTCTAATATTCACCATATTTTAATAGAGGATCGCGCTTGACCTAATAAACCTACCAAACGAAACTGATGATTTATATTCAACGTATATTGCATAATGTATGGACTGGGTGTCCACTGTTGAATTCTTGCCTTTTAACTCCACACTGATGTAATGTCTCTAGTAGTGTGGACCTCCTGGATTTCATCCATAATGATCTCAATGATGATGATAAGAATAATTACTTTATTTCAGACAGTATTTTTGGTGTAGTATTGAATTCTCACTGTGTACTGTTTCAACAAGCACGAAACCTAAAATTCACTCAGCACTCAAGACTAGACAACGTGGAATAGGTGTTCTCTCCAGTGACCAATCAGTGTATGTAATCCAGTCCTACAGGATGTCAGTCGTGACCCGAATAGCTGTGGTAACGTTGCTGACTGCAACACTGGGCGACTCGGGTTTGGATCTCCAAGAGAAATCAGATCCCTCAAGTTTGCAGACATACTTTTGTGACGAGTGCCCAAAAGCACGAAACCTAGGCCTAGAGCTTCCTGCCAGTTGCCTTCAACTAACAAATTTAATCTCTGTACAGTATTTTCAAGTGAAATAGTTATGGCATCTAAATAATGTTAACAATAACAGTATGATAAGTAGCAATACGTAACGATCAGTTGTTAGGTTATCGTCTGGTTTATTGGTACGTGGTTGCACGGGCGGCGGGGGGTGGGATAGAAACGCACTCTAAAGTTTCGTGGGGGACTCCCATTCAGTCAGTATGAAAATCTGCAGTTTCAGCTAACCGTTCGTGTAATAGTAGTTGTATGATGTAATGTTATACGGTCAGTGGCCCATTGCCATCTACTAAGGTGTTTTCGCTTAATTTACTTGTTAACTGTAAAAATAATAGGTTAAAGAGAGTTTAAAAATGCACAAGAGTACGTACTGTGATTTGTTAACATTTGAATGAGCAGAACATTTTCAAAAGGAACAACTTGATGGAGGATTTTCGTCAGTTCTAATTTTAAGCAACCCATCAATGTGAAAGTGCTTGAGTTGTGTGGTTTCAAAAATGTTCAGTCTATAGCAAAATCCTTTTCCAATTATCGCTGTAATTCATTAGATACCATGATAGCCTTTTAAGGGCGAATTAGACACTCGATTTACTTCTAACGGGGCTATACGTTCAAGTTAGAGGTTAGTTGGCTGGTGTCATATGGCTTCATACGATAGATGCGTCTCACAGTCTTATCCATGAAGCTACTTTCAGTTAGTAGTGATTTGTATTAAATTGTTACTTCTACTTAAATTAAAAACGTAACCAGCCTTTTAAAAAAATACCTTTTCCTTGTTTTTTTTCATTCTCTTTCACATAAAATTATCAGGATGTACTTTCAGCCTTAGGCTCACCAAGTCGTGTATTCTATAAAACTGAGGATAAAATGAAAATTCACTTACCCCAACCACATCGCCTTGTTCAACCAAGAAAATCAGATTATTTTTTCAATTATTTCTCATTGGGTTTAGATATATTGTTTGATGCACAAACTCATGAAGTGATGAAATTTGTTCTGCATACAAATCAACCTGGAGAGTATACATTTAACACGTATGTTTATCTTTTTACCAACTGAATATACTAATTTTTGGTGTTACTAGGATTTCGTTGTTGTTTTTATTTAATCTCAGACATTCTAGTCGCATTCCAAACTTAATTGATAAACCCCAATCAGCACTTGAAACTTGACAACTATATTGGTCACCATCAGTTGACATATTTAGGTCTTTGATAATTCTAGTTGAATTCAGCCTGTCAGGTAATGTCAGTGGTTTATAAGCATCGTTTAACACCAGGTATACTCTGCCGTAGCGTTGCACCATTCATTTCAGTAGTAGTAATCACATTTACTTCTATGATTGATAGAGTTCACCGGGCAGCCGTCAACAGAAAGTCACAAAGGTTGGGTTTGCGGTACAGGTTGAACTGAATTACCTATACGCGTGTGTGTTTCATTTCAGAGAGCAGTAGTTTTAATGTCAACCTCTTTGAAAATGGTATCTTCTACATCTAACTTGTTTACATATCTATACAGATACGTTTAAAGTTTCCTTACAAAGTAATGACCTGGTTGTCATAGCAAATGTTTTAACATAGAGCAAATAAGGAAGTAGGAAAAACAGCAGTTTAATGGTGAGGATTTACAAAACTTTACCTGACCAATAACTGCTACCTTAACGTGGTGGTCGGGCTATGGTGGTGCGACTGTTGTTCCTTCGAGGTCCTACCATGCCAGATAGGTCTGTTGGATAGCGGTAAGATGGAAAGCAGTGACTGTTGTAGTGTAAATTACTACACTATGATGCGGGTCTGAAGGCGAAGTCGTACTGCTGCTAGCTGGATGGGATGTAGCAGCAATAAGGTGTTTCCCGCAGATGGCCAGTGGTGCCACACTGATGTTGCGTTCTCAACGGAAGGAGAGGGTTCGAAAAGGTCGGCCCTTAAAATAAGACCATTCACCTGCCCACAGTCTTCCAGTGACAGTGGTGTGGATTTTTTTTTATCTATCCGGCGTCAGAAACCTCAAAACAACGATCCACAAAAGGCTGTGTTTGACATATCTTAAGCAGATGTCCCATGAGCTCTGCTGTTACACAAATCTTTTTGTCTTTCGAGTACTCTAAGAAAAAATAGCCTTCTACAGTGTGGGTAGCTGGGAATTGTCAACCGATCATATGCTTCCAGTAGTACACAAGACCCAACCAAACATAACCCATCCTCCTCAACTCTGTCTCGTCTTCTGTCTTCACTTCCTGATACTAGTATTAAGCCTCTTACACCTTACCCGACATCTCACTCTGCAACCATTGCCATCGAAACCTCATTCATAGTCTCCTATCCTCCTGCCAACCATTGGGTCATGGGTTCGAGCCCCCCCCACCTACTGGGGTTTGAGCATCCAGATAGTGTCACTAGCCCTCACACAATAAGTGTACCTCATTGCCTACTGCATGAATGTGCACAGGGTAGCTGAGTACGTTTTTTTGATCCTTCTATTCTCTTTGTACTACTATGTAGTACGGCAACTTGAGCCAATGCACCTGTGTGTGCGGTTCTGCGTTGTTTTTGTCAGCTATCAGTCGCAAACCTTGATATGCTTAGGAAAGAATAATTTAAGTCTGCAAGAAGCAAGTTTCTAGAAGGTAATCTTAAAAGTCCGTTCTAGGGAATCTATTTATCGATAACTCATGGTTAAATCGTCCTCATGTGACTTACATATTTCATAATTAACGTCCTTAACTGTGAGCTTGACAAAACTGGTTCTAATCCTCAACGGTGAATCCGTTTTTCAGTGAAATCTTACTGTTTATAGTCGTATTTCTTCCTATTAACTTTTGCTAACTGGCCAAAAAAGGCAAGAATAATTGAGTTGTAAAAAAATCCTTTCAAATAGTTTTATATCAGTCAGTCAGGATCAATGTGGGACCTGGTATTATTAGTGTGTATTGAGACAAGTTACCACACCTCATATTGGCACATCAAGCAAGAATGCACGAATGTGAAAGATAGAGAGATGAGGAATTAAGTATTCAAAAGTGATCGAAAGAGAACAAGAAGGGATGGAGCAACAATCGAATTCGGTATAACGATCAATATAATCTGTGGATGCATCTATGCCACTGAGATTGATTCTGATCCATATGACCTTGAATCCTTAACCAGCTATTTTGATTGTCACCTGAGGCTCAACTGCAAAATCAACATTTCCCTACACAGCTCAGACCAACAATCGCAAACTTTATGAACTGGTGTCACGTTTTAGTCTGGCCTCTCCCATGACCTTTTCATGGCTTAAATCCATGTCAACAGTCATCTCACGACGAGGCAGACGGTAATTACGTATTCGTCGTAACACACGCCCCAACCATATGGGTCGTCGGTTTACCACTCCACCAATTGACTAATCTGTTTTACCTGAGACTTAACGCTTGACATCGGCGTTACTGACAGGTTGATTGCACGGCTAACGGCTGGCGTTACGAAGCGACGATAGTCGATCACCTGAAGCCTTCTCATGTCGTCCATCACTAATGGCCATGTTTTACGACCATGTAGTCGAATAGAGCGAACTGTTGGGCAGTACACTCAATCTTTAGTAGGCAGTGGAATATTCATCGATGGTAGAGATTGTGTAAGTTGGCGAAAGCCAGTCGAGTCTTTTTGCATCGGCGGTGGGATGTCGTCGACCACTGACCCTCCATGTTTAATTTGACTTACAGCATCTTCGCCTAACAACACTATATCATCTAGGTTTACTAGGGAGTCAGTCTACTGTGACATCATTACTGGTTAGCGCAGACGAGAAGAGGAAGACTTCCACAAGCACCTCTTTGGCAGAAAATAAGAATGGAGTGAACAAACATCCTTGATAGACACCACTTAACGTACACAGTTTACTATAGACTCCAATACTCACACGGGTCTTCGGGTTTAGACTCATTAATAGAGTGAAATACTTACTCGTCACCTGTTTCAGTGATTGACGCTGCCATGAGATATCTCGTTGATGGAGTCGAATGTCTCTCGCGTCAAGAATCAGGTCTGATGTCGCACGTGGTCAAGTGCTCCTGTATTTCTGAACCTACTGGATGGTGGATATCCGATCGAAACACCCACGACCAGGTATAATTGTTGTCGGGTCCTTTTAAGAAATGCAACCGCTGTTTTTGTGATGTGATGATGCAGTGATCATTTCTTCATCTTGAGTAGTATGTTTTCTTTTTTCCATTCAGTACTCTTCCGGTTATTTTTCTAAGCTATGCATTACACTGAAAAGTTTGCTTTTGTTATACCTTTTTATTTTGATATAGTCAGTCAGACCAGCATTGGTGTTATCCTCTAGTCATCACGTCACCATATGCCTTTTACCAGGTTAATCTTCATCATTCACTATCAAATCTGGGGGGGGGAAATGGTTCATAGCCGAGAAAGCTGTTGGTTACCCTGAAACAAGTTAGAACAGTAGGACCAGGCCGTCTAGTTTCAGAGGTATTTAAGGATGTTGATAGAGAATTATTGATCAAGTTAACTAAAGTGTTATCTTATTGTATGGGAGTAAGAAATGATCCCTTCTAACTGATCTCAATCACTGATTGTACCAGTGTTCAAGTAAGGGAAGAAATCCTCTTTTTGATCACAGGGGAATCGGCCTGATGAAGATGGCGTCTAAGGTTGTAGGTTCTACAGTTATTAGACTCCTAAATGAAATTCAGAAACAACACACCTGGGAAAGTCGTAAAGGTCTCAGACCTGATCGTTGGTTTATGGGTCATATATTCAGTCCCCGCCTGGTTCAGTAACATTGGCACACTTACTGACGCCCGACATTATTTATATTTCTCTACCTAAAGGCAGCATTCGACTCTGTCGATCGAGAGGTCTAATACCAGTTTCTTTCATTTAGAGGGGTGCCTAACAAGTAAGACTCTGTACTTAAACCTCTGTGAAGGTGTTAAAACCTATGACTAGTTATCAGGTGAGTTGTGCACGTCGAGAAGTCTCCATCAAGGATGTCCAGTCTATCCATTCCTATTCAACTTCATCATTGACATGCGATTCTCCCTCTCATCCTCTAACTTTACAGGGATTAACCTTGTCACAGGAGAACTCCTATTAGGCCCAGACTGCATAGATGACGTGGTCGTGTTAGGTGAAAACGCTGACAAGTTACAGTTTTCTGGACAAGTTGAAGGGCAACTTGGGAATGTTTGGGATGCGTTTCCCACCAACCAAATGAAAATAACTGTTCCACGACTAGTCTGCGTTGGCGTCTTGTTTGACAACAGGGATTGAAGTCGTTGAACGCATTGGTCACTTAACTTACCTGGTAAGTTGGATGAGCCTTGGCCGGTAAGTAACCGGCGAAATTTCTGCACAGATACAAAAGACTTGACCAGCTTTCGCCTACTGATACCATTTATGGCGCCGCCGTGATATTTGATTTTCTATTAATGGTCTGGTTTACTGTACTGCAGTTCGCTATGATCTGCTATGTGGTTGTGAGAAATGACCAATAAACGTGGAGGATATGAGAAGACTTCGGGTGTTTGACCACCGATGCCTCCGTAATATGATTGACTGAGTGGCAAAACCAACGTGGGACCTCGCATACGTGTGCATTGGCTCAAGTTGCCGCACTTCACAGTAGGTACACAAGGAACAGGTGGATAGGGAAACAGTGATGCCAAAGTAGACAAAGTTGTTTAAGAGAATAAACAATCTGAAGATAGCGGTTAGTGCAGTTATTCAAGCTTCAGAAGATGTCAAGGAATTATGAACGATTTTCATCCATGTCACCAAGAGACCCCCAACCACTGATTCTTTTTGTCTCGGGGACCCCATCCAGACAGTCTACCCCTCTTTATACAGCCCAAGCCAACAATAAGGGACTTCATCGACTGGTGTTACGTCTTCGTCTGGCCACCCTGAACCCTCCTCCAACTTAACCCAACTTCCTCTAGCATGGGCCGTGTACCATGGTGTAACCACATTAGTCATGCAAAAGTCAGATCTAGAGTTTTAGGGATGAGAGGAAAGTCAGTTGCTGTGGTTGTTAAACTACATCGACTAGGGTGAGTGGGACATATTTTACGCATGCCTGGTTACTATCTGCTTCATTGCACAGAGTTAGCTGAAGCAGGTTTAGGCTGGAAAATGGCTGAGGGTGGACAGACTAAAATGTGGCATTAACCCCTGATGCTGTTGACTTTTTATCTGAGTCATGTAGATAAATGTAAACTTCAAGGTTGGAGTTCGCATGAAGGCAGAAATCAGTAATTGTAGACTGTAAATGACACTGTTCAAAATCGATTGCATTGTCATATCCACATATTTTTCTCATCTTATTCGTCATACTGAATTCAGTGATTTCTCACTCCTCTTTCCTCTCTTTTACTGCTTTTGACTGGTTCTTCTCTGTTTCTTTATGGTTCATCATATTGTTGTGTTGCTTAGTGTGATGATTTGAGGCGTGGCAACTTGAACCGTTATACAGTAGTGCCTTATCCTGTGGTGATATTGATGGTGTGTTCTTTTCTTGTGCTACATTTCCTACTGACTCCAAGTTGGTGTTGGTGTAAAGTAAGAGATCTAGCAATTGAGAAAATCGTTTCGATTCTATCATCCATTGAAGATAACTGTTATATCAACACCAGTAGTTAACATGAGAAGCATTCAAGTCAAATTCTATTTTAGTTGATTTGTTAGACATATCACGCAGTGGAAGAGTATTGTTTACTGGATTGCGTTTCAGATACAATTTATTATGCATAGTCATACCAAGACTACACAACAAGATTTTTCGTATATAGATACCACTTCGGCAATTACATTTGGAGTATGAATTGAGTTTTTAAAACTATCATATCATTATTTGACCAGAATAATTTTCAGCGTGGAAATTGTGGAATTGGTATTCCAAGAATCGCCAATTTTGTAGCGCCTATTTTATTAAAATTGCTATGTTATTTTTTCTAGGTGTTTAGTTACCACATACTAGAAATATGATCGACTAAAACTTAAAATGATCTGAAACAAGTCTTTATAATGAAGAACAATTATTTACTGAAACTACCTACATGCAATAAGGCTCATGATTCCAGTTGAAGGAGGCTCTAATTGGCAACCTGATTCGAACCAGAAACCTACTGATTTCATTATATAAACGAGGCGTTAAGTAATCAACCATTTACCGAATGATACACACATTCGATTTGTTCACATTCTCAAATATGCTTCCTTTTTTAATATTGTAACAAGCAATTACATGGCTCTCGTCCATTTATCTTACATTCTGTATACTTTTCCTTCATGCACACCACGTGTTTCAAATTAAATAATCATAATGTTTCCCACGTAAGTCTGGTCCGAGCTCCTTCACGGAAATAATCAAAATTGAAATATCAGGGATATATAAATAAATCCGAAAACCTGTATTTAGCCCCCTTACCCAAACTTCTTCGTATAGTCATTCTCTTTCTGAAATTGTGTATCTCTTGTATCACTGGCGTGTGTGTGTTACCATTCATATTCTCCTTGATTGTAAATATCAGATACAAAAGGTCACAGGTGGCATTATAATCATTTGGTTACTTTATAAGTACAATAGGGTATATGAGGTGGATATGTAGGTCATTTTGTCAGTTAGTATAGTATTAGCGATTTTTTCATAGACTCGGGGAAGTAGAGTGGAAATGAGTTGTAGTAATGATGGGGTTGATAATAAAAAAAACAAATCAAATCAATCCAGATTGTGTTGTTGCCGGTGCAAAGATAACAAAGTCGAGACTGATATTGAAGGTAAACGGTAGAGTCACGCTTTCTGCTTACCAATTAGTAATTGTCAAGAGGCAACTAACCGTCTTTCATCTCGTCTGTTCAAGCTGTCCGGATTCGCCCATATATGTAGGGCTTCGGATATTAATCTTTCTTGGTATATAACCCAAAACCTTCTTGTAGAACTTTGGGTTCCGTCAAAGTCTATTTTGTGTCCTATTTCTATGGAGTTTAGCGTAATTGCCGATTTCTTTTCTAGCCTGTTAACGTCTGCTGAGATTTTCTGAATCTGCTTTAAGCATAGTTTATACTCCTTCACTCTTGCGTTTACCTGCCTGGCTGTCTCCTATACATATACTGAAGTACGATCTGCGTATCTGATTTCATAAACTCAGTTCTGTTGATTTTTTTTAGGTACTACATCCTCAACGTTCATTAAGTTACAGTGTAGGGTATCTGTTGCACGAAAGTAAACTCTTATGTCATGTTTTTTGGGAATCTTTCTTATTTCTTCCGAGGTCTCCTTACGGTGTGGGATTATGACCGTGTTTATCCAGTTCTTTGGAGGGAGTTTCATTTTTAAAAATTCTTTTTACGAAATCTTTGCGATAATTGTTTGCTTCCAGTGTGCGACAAACTGACTCTAACCCTTCGTCTTTATCCTTTTTCGTAGTAACAACATGGTTACCCTGTTGTTTAGATTTTTTGCAACTGTTACTTTAGTGGTCACAGGATATGCAGACTGATAATCCAAGTATCTGTCAAAATGTATTGTTTTCCTAAAAAAATCTTAATCTGTAGTTTATTATAATACTATCTTTCCACCATACAGTCCATAAAGGTTAATTTCGACAAGTTGGATTCAACTTCCTCCTGTTGAAAGTAATGCTTCCGCGCCCATTATTTACATGACGGAAGAGTTCATTCAGACCGTTGCGTTTAGTGTTGACAAATGTATCATCTATGTACCATAACCAATTTCCTGAAGGTGAAGGGCATTTCACTATTGCATTTGTCTCTGACGAATGTATAAACAAGTTAGCTACCATTGGGGATGCCGGAGATCCTATTGCTATACCATCTATCTGTCGGTACAGATCTCCTCTGAACGTGAATACAGTCGATCGTAAGCATAATTTCAGAGACTAGAATTTCTCATGGATCTAATTGGCAACGGGAACTTAGTTCAGTATCTGACAACAGTAAGTTGTGAATGATATCTAATGCATCTTTAATTGGTACGTTAGTAAATAAAGAACAAACATCAAAACTTGCCATTATCTCATCTTCAATATGCGATAAAATGATTTTGTTCATGAATATAGACGACGTCTTTACTACATATTTTAATTCCTTTTCGTATGGTCTTAGGGTTCGTGATATGTATTTTACTAAATTGTATGTCGATGAGTTAGTAAAATTCACAACTGGTCTGAGAGGTATATTTGACCCGGGAAGATTGAACAAGATGAATTACACATGTTTTAATTGATTAATGTATCTTTCGTATTTCATTTAAAATGGCGATGAGTTACATTAGGTGCTGGATGTTTCGAGTCAGTACGCATTACTGAGCGCTGAAATTTTGGAATGGTATTGTTTGCTCATTATAATGGCTTCCTTTTTTTCTCGAAATCTTACTCTTCAGTTTATTTGAGATGGAGGTTGAAGGTAGGAAATGGGTGAGTAGCGTGCTTCCTGTCATCACGTAGTGAGGTCAGTGCATGATTCTTGAGTTACCTTTACTTTTTGATGAAGGTGGTGTTTAATACACCACTGAATTGAAGCTGGCAAGTTCACCATCTACAGTCTCATCCCATTTCCTTCTGGTTTTCATAGTTAGTAAATTTAATCGGTTTGTTCTGTCATTTAATCCTTTGATAAGGTGGTTACGTTTTGTATGGTAATTCCTGTGAGGTATGTTTTTCTGTGCTTTATTTTGAAACGAATCACCAATAGTTTTATTTTCTTATCCTCACAGATATTATCGATGTCTTTTTGAAATACCCATACCTATTCTGAAGTCATCAAAAGAAAACAGTAACTTGAACACTCACATTGATGACAATATACCTCAAGTGAATGATAATCCAACCAATGAAACGAAATATTGGTAACACCATTCTCAAAGGTAAGTATTTAGTCAGATTCATTCATCTTGACCTATTCACCACGTTGCTGAAACTCAGTTTGTCAATTTCGGTGTAGAACTGCCATAGTGGGTGTGAATTAGTAGAAAGTGGAATTTTCGATGGGATTTCAGTACATTTCTTGGTAATTGGACATAATTCAAGTTCATTGTTTGTTGAAAATTACCTCAAGTTAGCAAGTAGTGTAGTATACGAAAAACCATTAATATGCGCAAAAACTTTTGGATACTTTAAGCAGAACTTAATACTGAATTGCAGTAATTACTGATCAAATAGGTACAAGGTATTGGCTAGTTACTAGATGGTGTCAAAAAGCAGAAAATTGTTTGCCTCAGATAATAAACTCAAGTGCCAGTAATTCAGAGGTTAAATGTTAAATGAAGGCACTAAAGCGGAGTTGTTTTAATATCAAGGAACAATTTTTGTTTTTATGAAAATATTAGCATAACTCTTACTGACATTCAGTGTATCACGACGTTTGTAGGACTTTTTCAAGTAGAATATTATATACCTTCTGACATTGACAAAAACTAAACAGAGTTCAATCCAACTTGGAACCTTGCACAAAGGTGAAGCGATTAAAGTTGCTACAAACTTCCCAATGGAGAAATCAATAGAGTTTGAATTGTATTGAAACGAAAATTGGAAAGATATTTACAGTTTTGATGTTAATTAATATTGGATACATGTATAATGTTGTAACTGGTTTCAAAACATATAACCACCTATTGGTTTTCAATATCTTGGAGACTTCTATCAGGTAGCGCACACTTTCATGTATTGATATCGCATCTTATCGTAATCACTATTAGTTCTAATCTAAGTTTACTCTAGGAAACATTGCTTATGTACACGGTAGCTTATCGTGATGAATGCCTTTCTCAGTCATTTCGTCCAGTATATAGGCTTACAAATTCAATAATTGACTTACAAATCGATTCACTTAACAAGACCTTGAAAGAATCTGTGTCAGTAGTAAAACGTTCAGTCTCATTCCTGTTTTATGTAGTATAGCTGTTAGATACAATTTGTAAAAATGGATGGTGACTACGAATTTCAGCGCACCATGTTACTTTTGTATCCACGCATGTAACTTGCTTTTGCATGAGTACATAAAAAAGTGGATATTTGAGAAAGTAGAATGCATTAGGAGGTCTTATGTTTTCTTTTGGCCATACATACTGTTTTTTCATATAGGGATAATTCAACGAATCGAACAATAGTCAACCATTCATAAATTTGGATGAAACTAAAGATAGAGAGATAGAGTGCAATACAATACATGATCGCTTGTAATTTTAACGGAATTTCAATGAATTACCATTCATTGGTGTTTCCTTTTTTTATTTATCCTCAGAGAAACCTAAAAAACCTTATTGATGTCTACTAAAATGCGCACCAAACTACAGTGATCAGATGGGTATTTGGCTGTAAATGTGTGACTTATACGGCAGTAAATAAAATGACCAAGGATAAGATGAAAGCTACAAGACAACCAATAAAAATAAGGTTTCTATCTCATTCGTCTAACAAAATGAAAGTATGTTCTAATTAGGAAATTACCTAAACTCTCTTAGTTCTCACGTCTAAAGTTTAAACTTTAAGCATCCGCAATTTATTTATGCACTAATTATTTTTATTTATGATTTTCAATGGTGATTTGACAAAATGAAAGTGGTCTGATGTCCGACAACATTTGGACTCATCTGTGGATACTGAACCAGTGGTCATATATAGGGAATCGAAGCCACAACAAAATCCTTTGGTCCAACACACGCATACGGTTATCAAAT